AATTGAAAAAATCCTACACACTGTGCCTTTAAACGAGACCTTTCTTCATGATCAGGGCCCTTTTTTCCAGAAAGCCCGACATTTCTTCCATCACTGCTGGTTCCAGTCGTTGTTTATCCTGCTGTAAACATCTCTGTTAGCTTTCGTMTAYCTKAAGTTTCCTTTAACAGTTACTGAGCCCAACTCAAGGAGAAATTACTGATAATGTTACAGAAAGTTTGAAAGCAGGGTAGTTCAACCAATCAGTATTCTCTGCCGACAACGCCATGACGTACGCATCAAACCCGACGACATGCTGCGCAGGTCTGGACATAGATATATTTAAAGGCTAGACAAACCCGCTGTTGACGACGTCGTCTTAGCTATGTACAGGAGATACTCTACGGACTGGCGCTGCCTATTGGAGCGGATGTCTCAGTGCGGCCGCCATCTTGAATGGGTACCTCTCGCGCTCCCAGCGCATTTATTTTRACTGAGAAAGCTGTTCATCCAAATAAAATAATCGCAACTCCAGGATTTTTTTTCACACGATTTGCTTTGTTACAAACATGATATGAAATAGATTCTGAGTTCTGAATTAAGGCCGGAGACAGACAATGTTTTTAAATGTTTATTATTGGCTGTATCCTTCTCGAAATGTGAACAGAAGTGACGCAATTTTCTTCATGAAACTGCAACAGTTCGGCACGATTTCGGCAGTTCGGCAGCAGCATGCTGGCTATGGTGTCACCCGCGAGCCACATTTGGCCCACGGGCCTTGTGTTTGACACGTGCTTTACATGTATGCAGCTAGAACTGAGCGAACTCTCCGCCCCTCACTCAAGCAGACTAATCCATCAGCTSTTCAGGRAAACCCTGTRGYTGTTTGTGAAAAGGTCCTAACCCCATAGACAGAGGAGTGATTAAATTAAGGGAATAATCTTCAGCCTTGTGTTACAGGTAAACAGAAGGTTATAAAAKCCAAGGAAAGCAAGAATGTAAACAGCTTTGCTACAACAGATTACAACAGACAGAAGAAAATGTGATGTTTAATTCGATGTTTTTGAGCCACTATCAAAGAGAGTCAGAGTTCAAATAAAATTAGCTGCATTTTCAACATTTTTTTATGTGCATCATTGTGGTTGATGGAAACAACTAAATTCATATAAACTTCCTCAATTTTACAAAAAATGTATTCACGTTTGCCTGAGGTGGTTTTTGGCGTTTTTTAAAATGCATTAATGTGCATTATGAGAAATGGGAACACAAGCTGTGTTTCCATCCAGTTGTGACCTTTCAGCAAACTTTTAAAATGTTACAAAAAGATTTGTGAGTCAGGCGTGTTTCTATCTTCTGGTTTGGAGCSAATCATCCAGGCTACACAAACTGTAATCATGTCAGACGTTGACAAAATTACACTTGGTTAAAGTAGATAGAAACACACATGATTTGCATTAATTATTTATTTATTTCCCCTTTTTTGTGACTTTTTAAAAGTTTGCTCAAAATTTCCAATATAGTTGAGTAGAAGCAACAGTTTAAATAAACAAAAACCAGGGAGTATAATCCCTTTTCAAATAACATAGGATAATCCCACATTATTATAATATAATCCCACTGAGATTACTTGTATGTTTGTATTAAAAAAAAACTACACTGTATGTAAAATTGGGCTCATCTTAACCACAAACTCTTTATTTTGTCAGTACTTCACATTGTTTACATAGCTCTGTGCCTCTCAGAAGACCTCTTCAAGATGGCATCGCTCCGTTAATGCCTCGCAGCAGCGCAGGACATCGTTGGGTTTAACAGTGTACGTCATGACATTGTCCGTAGTGTCATTGACTGAAACATATGGGTTGAACCATCCATCAAATACAGTATTTTGCAAACTGAAATTTTTGAAATTCTATGATTTGGTTGTCTATAATATTTTACTGTTTATGTACA